TTTAGATGCAGTTGTGATAAATTTCAGAGTAACAGCCGTGTTAGTCTGTATTCGCAAAAAGAAAAGGAGTACTTGTGGCACCTTAGAGACTAACCAATTTATTTGAGCATAAGCTTTCATGAGCTACAGCTCACTTCATCGGATGCACACTGTGGAAAATACAGAAGATGTTTTTATACACACAAACCATGAAAAAATGGGTGTTTATCACTACAAAAGGTTTTCTCTCCCCCCACCCCACTCTCCTGCTGGTAATAGCTTATGTAAGTGATCACTCTCCTTACAATGTGTATGATAATCAAGGTGAGAGAATTTTCTAGTTCTCCATGTTAATATAGTATCAGGTTCCGTCGTGGAGCAGCCAATTCAGCTTGTTGGGGGTATTATTGATAAATTGTGGGGTGTTGTGCAGTGTCCATGTGGTGGGACCTGGTGGCATGGTTTAGCCTGGAGGTGAAGTTCCATGGGTTGTGGAGGAGTTGTAGTTGGTTCTACTTTTTGTATTTGATGGCTGTCATTACTGCAAACAACAACAACGTAATGCAATGTAAAATGGTTGGTTTTGGTTTCAACAGCAAAGTAATTAATATACAAAAGCAGGTATTTTACATTCAGCGTAAACACTACTGCAACCGGACATTATCATCACCAACAAGGACCAGACGATCATCATGGTGGATGTCTCAGTGCCCTTCGAGAACAGGACTCCGGCCTTCCACGATGCCCGAGCTTGAAAGGTAGAGAAATATGCCCCTCTGAACGAAACCTTGAGAGCTAAGGGTTACCAGGTTCAGACACGCACTGATCATCGGAGCTTTGGGCACACAGGACACTAGTAATGAGAGAAGGCGGAATTGGTCAACACTGTGCTCTGCTGACATGGCAACTCAGGGTGTTGGACACCATCAAGTGGTCGAGGGACATCTACATAGAACACATCATCGGATGTCGGCAATACCAGGAGGGATGAGCTGGAGTGCCGATGAGAAGCGCAGTCAGGCAAGTAACTGAAATACTTTCCTCGTGGATTGTATTTTCTAAATGGACAACCTACCTAATTCTCAATTATTGAGGGACAATCTCCACTCCGATATATTTTGCTTTCCACAACCAAATCTCTGTATAACTTTTTATGAGTGATGTACCCAAGTATTCGGATTCTAATATCTAAACTGTATTGTGAAATCTATTCACCTAAATTTGGGTTATTGCTGATTATGTGCTCTATGTATCATATGACTTTAAAAACAAACTTTGTATTTGTGGGTAATCTAAGAACTATACCCAGATGTACAAACACTCTTTTCTCAACCTATTATATAATTTTTTTAACTTTAGCTTTAATAAAAATTTTAAAACCATCTCACAGAATTGGACCCATTATGGATCTGATTCTGCAAGCAAAATTCCCAGTGAAGTCAATAGGAGTTTTGTGTCCCTAAAGACTACAGAATTAAGTCAGATGTTAGTAAATGTCAATGGCTCCTATTAGGTTATATGTAGTGTACATAATTTATCACCCATTATAAAAGCTCCTTTATAATTTTTAAACATTACATATTTTGACATCAAATGTTTCACAAGTAGAGCAAAAATACCTAAGAAAAACCCTTTGCTTTTGTTTTTTGACATTTGCATCACTTATTCTTTGTTTTGTAATCCTTACCCACATGAGAAGTCCTAACTGTTTCAATGAGAATACTTGAGTAGGAATTCTCATGTGAATAAAGGTTTGTAGGATTGGGCCTTCAATTTATAACAAATTTGAGCTTGTGCAAAATGAGATGTTACTTCTGGAGTATTCATAGCCTTAGCACTCTGGCATAATCGCCTTACAAACCTTTAAACCTTAGCACTCATAATCGCCTTACAAACCTTTAAACAAAAGGTGGCCTTTGGACAAGAGGCATTTTTACTTAGCCTCTGGCAAACTAGGTGTCATAGCATCACTGTTTGCTAGCTATTCAAACCTTCATATCAAAACATATCCCTTATAATGTGAGACCTGAATACTGAATGGTCAAATAAAAATGAGTTAGGATAACCTGAGCCCTAATTTCTCTGGTGCATGTTTTATAATAGCTTAAATAGTTTTGAACCCTATGAAAGATTTGAGGGTTGTTTTTCAATTCAAACCTTCAAGTTGTCTAGAGTATATGCATTCAAATTATATTTTTGTCTTTTAAAACAAATCCTTGTAGCATTACACAATAGAATGTTGTATTAAATTTAGGGCTGTCGATTAATCGCAGTTAACTCATGATTAACGCAAAAAAACTAATTGCAGTTTTAATTGCACTGATAAACAACAGAATACCAGTGACGAACCACAGCCACTGGGAGCTGGAGGGATCCATGCCTGTGGACAGTCAACATCAGCAAAATGTCTCACAGGCCTGGCCCGCAATCAGATTACCCTGATGGACCGCATGCAGCCTGTAGGTTGCCCACCACTGAGGTAGACCCTGCTGATGCACATTAAGTTCCCTACTACACTCCCCTAAATTGCATTTTTAATGTAATATGGACAAGAACATGCATTGTTACACTAGATAAGCCAATTGATAAAGCTTCCCCATAAAACATTTCATATGGTTTCTTCAGGAATGGATTTAATAGTGGGCAAGGTGAAGCCTTTGGATTCTTCTTTCACTTTTAAGAGATTCAACAACCTACCTGCCATTTTCAGCCCAAAGGATTGCAGGACTTTCCTGTCTACCCTTGCAGGGGCCTCCTCACCCTCACTCTACCCCATCCACTCCCCACTGAGTCTTGTCACTGAAGGTCCAAGTTACCAACAGTGCTTTTATCCTTCAAGCTGTGGACTTTACATGTTTGTGCATCATCTGGCACAAATAACCACTCTTTGAAGAACACCGTCAATTTTAAAAAAATGAAACTAAACTTAGTCACTTGTTATACCTTGCACTTTGTCTTCAGACAGGAACTGCAAGCATTATTTGTGTAGAACTTTATCACCCTCAAGCACCATTTTTACCTCTATACATTCAATGTACTGTAACAGTCAAATGCTAACAGAGCAAATATTGGCTAATCACTGGTACTTCTAGAACAGGGTCTCTATTTAAGGCCTTGTCTACATGGGAAAGGTTCAGTATAACCTAAAGGTGTGAATTTAAAAGTGATGGAGTTCTACAAAAAACACCTCCCCACTGTGGCCACTTATAGTACTAAAAGCTGAAGGGTGGGTTGTTTTGTTTAGCTTGTTACTGGAGAAAGGATTTATGCTAAACCAATGTCACTCATACGGTATCAACACAGGGGAGTTCAGAGTGATTTAACTGGTAACTCATGAAAGCAAGGCCTTAATAAAAGAATAGACAGCACAGAAAGACAATCTGTCTACCCCAAACTTAAAACTGTTGGTTTAAAAAGATAAACTTTATATCCAGATATGCTGAACTGTAATGAAATGCATTTCTGTATCCACCCTGTGCTAGATAAAACAGATGTGCTGAAGCTTTATTTTAGCTTCTGCCTATGTCTAGCCTACATGTGATCATGGTGTATGCTCTACTAAATAGCTGAATTAACAGATTCCCCTTCATCTCATGTGAAAAGGGTCATCATTTTGGAAACACTTGTGCAGGAGAGAGGAGACAATGCAGCTCCTAGCTGCACACAGTACTATACCTCCCCTTCCTGCACTAGAAAGAAACCAATACTTCAATTTGGAACTAAAAATAAAGGAGCGTGGCCATTACCATCCAGTTCCCAAAATAAGAGCTCCATAAATGTTATCGGGTTCTACCTCCCAAAACTCAAACTATTTGCTTTTGCAAGCAAACAGTATGATATTCTCAAGTTAGAAACAAGCCAAAAGCAGCACAATCCACTCTGCCAGTCAAGTTAACAGTAGTTTTAAATTGTTGCCCTAGCATTTCATCACTCTGCCCAAGTCTTCTACACTAGGGTTTTACATACTTTACTCTTCCAGGATAGAAACATAAACATTATTAAAAGGAGATCTGGACAGAAAACAAAATAGATTTTTGCTTGTTGTGGAAATGGGTAAGTTTATGTAAACTACTAATAGGGGAGAAGCCTTTCAGCAAAAAGTTATTTCATCTCTCCCAGACTCCCTGCAGTGTTGTACTCTGTTGCTGTATACATTCAAGCATTTAGGAGATGAAGTTTCACTTTGCTGTTAGTACAATGGTCAAAATAGAAGAGGCAACACAACTATATACCTGTAAGGGGGAGAAAAGAGTGAAAGCAACAAAAGGAGGGGAAACCAGAGGAAGAGAAGATATGCACCACACAAGATGGGGTGAGGTTTAGAGAACCCAACAGTGCCCAGAGGAAACAGAGACAAGAGCAAACAAGCTACTAGAGAAAATAATAAGTGTATCCCACTTAGTAATTCAGGGCCAGGAAGCATCAAATTACTTACTGAAAAAGGTGGCTGTGTTGCACATTTTACTAGCACAATACATTCATGACTCAAATTAATCCCTTGGAGCACCATCAAATCTACAGGTTTGAAATTTGGTAAGCAAATGCCTGGAACACAAGATGGGGAAATAGCTGCAGTTATGGAAGCCACGATTCATGCTTTAGAAACAAATGCACCTAAAAACCCTGTGAACACACATTACTATAGTTGTATAGAAACAAGGAGTCCGGTGGCACCTTAAAGACTAACAGATTTATATGGGCATAAGCTTTTGTGGGTAAAAATCCCGCTTCTTCAGATGCGTGGAGTGAAAATTACAGATGCAGGCATTACTATACTGATCTAGAATGCCTTCATCTGTAATTTTCACTTCATGCATCTGAAGAAGTGGGTTTCTTACCCACAAAAGCTTATGCCCAAATAAATCTGTTAGTCTTTAAGGTGCCACCAGACTCCTCACAGTTTTTGTGGATACGGACTAACACGGCTACCCCTCTGATACTTGACACCATGTATAGTTATATAGGTGACTAGTCCCTGGTTTGTCTACCGAGCCATTAGAGGCAGATCACCAGGAACAACATTTGAAATCACTCAACGCATTTTTATTTCACATACAAATAAAAAATCCGTATAGCTAAACAAAGTGTGGCATGGGGTTGCAAACAGTGCTACCCCACAGGAAAGGGCTCGCGGCCGAGTCCCTCGAGTCCCCTCAGGAGCAGCGGGCCCCGCACTGGCTGGTCGCGAAGACACGTGCCTTCCTCGTAGTTAGGCCCTATCTCGGGAAGCGGCGGGTCCAGGTTCCCCCGCCCGGGGTCTGGCACAGTCCCGGCTCCCTTCCGGGCCACGGTCGCTGCTAGAGGCGGGGCGGCGAAGCAATACGTTTGCCGGGCTCACTCGCGGCCGAGAGCGGGAAGAAACAGCAGGGTCCAGCACGGCGAGCCCAGGCTCCCACCCCCGGCGGTGTCGAGACGGCAGCTTCTCGCTCCTCCCGAGAGCCGCCCCCGCCCCGAATCCATCCCGGCTTCGCTCCCCTGCGGGCGGGGCGAGTTCTCGGGAAACCGGGTCGGGTCCAAAAGTTTGGGGGGCGGGACGGAGAGGGGGGCTCCCCTGGAAGGGCAGAGGGAGGGGCGGCGCTAGGACTCCTCCGGCTTGTCGGCGGGCGGGCCGCAGGGCTGCAGCATCTTCTCCATGAGGTTGAAGCGCACGCGCGCCTTGCTCTCGTTCTCGGCGATGGCGAAGTAGTTGAGCAGGTCGAAGTGGCCCATGTAGGAGCAGTACGAGTCGCGGTGCTGGTTCACCAGCCACTCCCACTTGGTGGTGTCCGCGTGGCCCGTGCCGATGTACTTGGACTGCAGGTGCTCCAGCTGGCTGTGGATGGTGTAACGATCCGTCATGGCGGCGCTGGCAGCCGACCGGCTCAACACCACCGAGCCCCAGACGCTTCCAGACTTCACCCGGCTCAGGCACAAAATGGTGACCGGAAGTGACGTTTGGGAGGAAATGCGTAGTTGTACCCCCGCTCCCGACCCTTTCTTCCCTCAAGCGACACTACGTCGATGAGTCACAAAACCTCGCACTCTGAAGAGAAAAACGAAACTGTCGCCCAGGGGCATGATGGGATCGCGCCCGGCTGAGAAATGAGGTAAATTCACCCGTCTCTGGGGGGCGCATGCGCTGATTGCACTTGCACGGCCCCAATTGCATGCTGGGAGCTGTAGTCCCTGGGCTTGCGAAGAGCGCGCGGGGGCGGGTCGATTCTGTTGCCGGGCGCTAGCTGCGTCTTTCTTTTCACAAACAGCCCGTGGGCGCGAGGCGCGCTGACCCCCCCGGCTCCGCGCTCTCGGGGAGCCTCGTGCAGCGCTCGCTGGCGCCGGGGTCTGAGCCCAGCTCGGGCACGTCGTGGCTGTTAAACGGGCACGGCGGGAGCGGGGCGCTGCCCGCCCGGGCCAGGGCCGGCCACCCGGCCCTCGCTTCGTTCCTGGGCAGCCCCGAGGCCGGGGCGTGTCTGTAACGGGGGTTTAACTGGGTTCGGCCCAGCCCCCATTGGCCGGCCCAACGGGCTCCCCGCAGCCAGGTGCGCCCAGTGCTTCGGTGCAGCGGGGACTGGGGCAGAGCGCGCCGGCTCTGCTCAAAGCGCCTCCGTCCGGAGCCTGGGCGGCGTGCCTGAGCCCTGCCCCCTGGGCCCGCAGAGCTAAGCAGAGTCCCTGCAGCGGGAGTGCTGCTGCTCGCAGAGTGGCACAGCGGCCGAGGGGGACATGGGGAGTGTTTTCCAGGTTGCTTGTGGCGTGCATCGGTCTGCTGCTGTGCACGTGTCTGTCGTCTTACTCGCCTCTTGGGGTTACGAGCACAGAATGGCGTCGTGCCTCTGAACAGAGGAAATGGTTAGAAAACGGAACACTTTAGAAACGAGGTTTTACTTCCCTCTAGGTGCACCGCAGCCTGGCTATTTGCGGTACAGTTCTGCCTCTTCAATGTGAGGCTTCCTGGGGTGCTTATTTCTAAAGCAGGAATGAGATTCTGTTTATATAAAGGGTTCAGAGTAGCAGCCAGTGTTAGTCTGTATTCGCAAAAAGAAAAGGAGTACTTGTGGCACCTTCGAGACTAACCAGTTTATTTGAGCATAAGTCTCTAAGGTGCCACAAGTACTCCTTTTCTTTTTGTTTATATAAATATTCATATAAATATAAATATTATATGAATATATATATATTCAGGAGCTGGAATAGGCTGTGGGAGAAAAACCACACCCATTACACAACTGTGTTTAAATAGTTTGCCTGAGAAAAGTAGACAGATGGGTTTTTTGTTTATGAGGGGAGGGGATGTTTTTTGGATTTTTTTTTTTTTTTTGAGGACCCATGATTGTGGAATTATATGCAATTCCCAGATACTCTCTAGCCTGGTTTTATAATATGGTGCTTATCTGGTTCCCAGACAGGTGAATTATGTAATAACTGCATTATCAAATCCACATCTCCACTTCAGAAAACTACTTGATGCTTGAGTTTACACCTATGAAGATCAAGGAGAGCTTTGTTATTGACTTGAAAGAGAATTGAGATGTGGTTTGGGTATATGAGATCCTGAATTACTGACATTAATCTTCATATATTTCACAATAATAATTTATTAAAGGTATTGGCCTATACTTGTAACTGTCAGTTGGCTCACTATTAGAATTTTCAATTAAAGTAATTAACGCTTCAGTAAATGATTTTTATACAAGAATGATTATGAATATTGAATAATTAAGGGCCTACAGTTTCTCCATACTTGGATTCTCTGAAGTAACTGGTGTTTTTATTTGCAAAAATATGTTGATGTAAACAATAAAAACACTTGGAAATAGTGTTTATTTGCTGAAATTCGTAAAGAGTAAAAACTGTATCATTCCAAGTTGTTAGGAGATGCCCAGTAACCAGAAGAAATCTACACTTGCAGTGACTCTAACTGGCCACTGGGTGTCAGAGTTGTCCTGTACTTGAATACAATAATAATCAGTATGAGTGGTTGCTGCTGCAAAAGTCAGTGGGACTGTTCTCATGTGAGACAGCTAGTTCAATGGAGAAAGATAGACACTGTGATTTTCTACCTCGGGGTTTTACTTGATCTTTTAAGCCTCCCATTGGTCCTGCATGTAACAGGAGAGCCCACACATGCTATGTTAATACAATTCAATCATAGGGACAAATCAATCCAGAAAGAAGGGCATTGTTATATGAGCATTGTTATATTTGACATGCATCTGGAAACATTACAAAACGCACTTTGCTAATTTTCTGACACTTACTAGAAATCACGGCATCCCTCACTATTTTGGTTTGTTCTGCTGCTGCTACAGTATCACAGAGATCTCCCTGACAATAAATTGCTTGAGATTTTTCCAGGGACCAGCCTGAACAGAATGGAAATATGTGAGAATAATGTGGGGCTAAGGTAGGAAAGAATTCTCATTCCTGGATGGAAAATACATTGCATGGGAAGAGATTATGCATTTTTCTTATAAGCAGGCCTCTCTGGCTCCTAACAGGATTCTTTGACAATTACTTGCACAGATTCTATCGACTCTGTCATGCTAGGCTAATAAAACCTCTCTCTTGTTAATTCTGTGGTTTTTTTTCCACCAGATGTCCCATGGTGTCATATACATTGTACAAACCTTATTATATGCACATAATTGGACAAGTACTTTGATGACTTACAACTCATGTAACTGTAGAATGTGCATAAATTGGCCCAGTAAGTATCAGCTGGAAGATCTTTTCTTCTTTACTGAACAATCCTATGTAAAGCTTTTTCCACAAACTGGACCTCTCCTTCCCTCTCCCCATTTCTCATCCTTGCTATCCAAATTGTGATTCTTTTCCAATAAGTGAATTACTCATAATATATCTTAGCATAAAAACAAGGAAGCCATGGTAAAAAAATTTAAATAATTTCCTAGAAATTTTGCTTTATTTAATGTTTTGAATCTGATTTAATGGTGTAGGAAAAAAAAAACACTTTTCACAGAACAGGATTGTGCCACTGGATCCTAGCCAAAGCTGTACATAGTAAGAAAATGATAAAAACGAGATAAAAGCAACAAAATACCATATCCTACCACTACAAGGCATATGCTTCAAGTATGTGTCTGGCTTTTTAAATCAACCTGCAACTAAAATGTTTTATCCTTTTTCTAAATCTAGCATCCACTCCCAAAATTACATTTGCCTGAGGCCCAGGGCAAGCACTATCCAGAACTGGGCCACTGACATGTTTAAGGTTTGATATTTAGCAATGCATCCCAACTAGCGACAGAAACTTTGTACAGAGGAATAGAGAGATTCCCAGCTTATAACCCTGGAAGGGCCTGAAATATTAGATTTAAAAATTATGAGCTTTTTAAAGGAAATTTGTAGAGAGGTTTAACACATTATTTCAATTTTTAATTCTCCTCTGCAACGTGTATTGCTAGATGTACACTTCTGCCATTATCAAAACTAAAGCATTTTTAAAGTAGTTTTTCTATAACATATGTGGCATGTATATGATGGCATAGTAGGGGATAAAGGACCTGAGCCTGCAGGCTGCCTTCCACGGGCCCCTACACCAATGCTGAGCCCCATTGACCTCACTATGGCTTTACATAGAAGGATCCGCTCAGATGGAGCAGTTTACAAGACAGGCTAAAGGTTGTCTGCGATGATCTGGGTAATGAAGTCATAGTTTCACATTGTGACTAATATAGTTAGTAATACACTCTCATAGTGATGACACCTTTATTCCAGTTCCCAGCATTAGGTCATACATATGTAATGGATTATGTAATAATAATAAATACCCTAGATCAATATTTAACACTAGGTTAGTTTAGTTTAATTTAGAAAGTGATTGATAATTTATTCCATAGTATTCAGGAGCATTTAAAGGAAGTTTCACACTAGAGTTTCACTAGCACAGCATCTATGGACAAAAGCTTGAAATAGAGCAATTTAAGAAACATGGGACAAACAGAGAGAGCATCTGTTTAAAGAACACATCAAAAGTCTCAGAAAGAGATAACTATCACTTGATATTTGGAGAGGAGCTCTCTATTCCAAAGCCTTTATTTTGAAAATAAAAGCCTCTCTAATGTGCTGAGTTTCTGCTAACGCTAAAAATAGAGCAGACAGTCTCAGGTGAATTTAAACTGTTTATAATTACTGCAGGATAATTTTTAAAAATGCACAAAGTTATGTTCTTTTTCATGCATTTTGGTAAATAAAATGGATCTTAAAATCAAGAATCAGTAATCAGCAGTTATGTAGGCAGCTGTGCTCTGATTTCTCCTTTCCCTCATCCTTCTCACCTTTCTTCCAGGATCTTTTTATGTCATTCATCCCAGGTAAAGTATCACAGCTAATACAGAGCTGAGGGAGACAACAGTCTGTCCTGAATAAGTGGGCTTGTATGGTAGCATAAACACATTTGAATCACCCTTAACAGAAAACCCCACTTTAACTTTTTATGGTCAGCCTAAGATAGAAGGAGCTGATCAGAACAATGACCAATATTCTGTATCCACTACAATTTTTCTGTGTAGTAGGGCAAGTTAGGACAGAGAAAAAGACAACTCTCATTCTCCCTTCTTTGTCTGACCCTTCAAAACTGCTTAATATAGCAGTCTTCATTTTCATGTTTTTTAAATATGTATTTATGTTTTTAAAGAAACTATTTTAAAATTACTTTCCACAAAGAAGCCTATCTATTTAAAAAACGCTAATATTTATCATTTGAATTAGATACTAGAACAGTGGTGTCATAATCCTTATCTTAACAGAACTCTAACGTTTCTATTACGCACAAGTCTAATACTCATCTGTAAACACACTTGAGTCAATAGATAAGAAATTTGAGAAAGTACAAAAAATACTTTCAGTAGAAGTGCGGAGATGTTGATATCTCTGAATCGCTAACATGACTGACCAAAATGGTTCATTTGATGCTGTCGTAAATGCAGTGTACTAATTTATTTTATGGAGTTTTGATCTGAGGATTACTGACATGACAGACAATAATGGATACACAGAAATCATTGTGGTTGATCATGGCAATAGATATTTAGGAAAGTTTAAACTAAGGATAAGTTGAACAATACAATA